TCTGATCCAGAATGAACACGTTCACTGTCACGTTGCTGCTCAGAGACTGAGCTCCAGAATCTGTGGCCACAACTTGGAACTGGAAAGTTTTCAGACTTTCAAAGTCAAAACTCTTCATTGCAACAATATCTCCAGTTTCTGAATTAATGTTTAAAAATGATGTGAGCATGTTTGCCCCCTCTCTATCCCTCGAAATAAAGTATGAAATCTGAGCGTTACTGCCTTCATCCTGATCCTGAGCTGTCACTGAGAAAATCTTCTCCGCAGGTGTATTATTCTCACTTATATAAAATGTGTAGGGGCTATGTGAGAAAACTGGACTGTTATCATTCACATCTGATATTATCACTTTAATATTTTTCTCAGATGTTAACGACGGTTCCCCTCCATCTTTTGCAACTATTATGACGTCATATATGGATTTCTCTTCTCGATCCAGTTTACCGTTAGTTACTAAGGAATATATATTGCTTTGTAAAGATGGAACGATTGTAAAATGAAGTTTTTCATTAATGTCACATATAACTTTCCCATTCAGTTCAGAATCAAAGTCTGTAACACTAATCAAAGCCACTGTAGTGCCTGCTTTAGAATCTTCAGGGAGCGCTTGTGAAAATGACGTCACTTCAATTTCTGGCGCGTTATCATTTAGGTCGACTATGTTAATTACGACATTCTTGTCGGTTTTCAAAGTTGCCGCACCTTTGTCTGATGCCTGCACATCGATTTCATATCTGGACCTGTCCTCAAAGTCTATATTCCCTGCCACAACTATGACTCCAGTCTCTGGGTTTAAATTAAAAAGTGCGCGCACTCGCGCTTCCACGTCATGGCTGAATGAATAAAAAACATCTCCATTTGAACCTTCATCGGAATCTGTTGCATTAATCTGGATGACAGTTGTACCTACAGGGGAGTTCTCCTTTAAAGACACAGAATATGACTCCTGGCTGAAAACGGGCGGGTTGTCATTAACATCAGAAACATTAACTATTATTGTCATGTTTCCAGACTTTGGAGGTCTCCCTCCATCTAAAGCTGTCAGTAACAGCACGTGGCTTTTCACTGATTCCCTGTCAAGTGGCTTTTCAAGAACTAAACTGGGAGTTTTACGGTCCTCACCGCGATCCTTCACTTCTAATCTGAAATGATCGTTATTACTCAGTTTATACTGCTGGACGGATAATAACCCACTGTCAGCATCATGAGCAGTTTTTAGCAGAAATTTGGCTCCTTGTAATGCAGATTCAAAAATCTCCAACATGATTTTATTCTCGGGGAAGCTCGGCGCATGGTCATTCACGTCCAGAATCTCCACCGAGACGTGATGGATCTCCAGCGGGTTCTGCAGCACCGTTTTTAAATCCACAACACAAACCTTGCTGCGGTCGCAGATTTGCTCTCGGTCGATTTTTCGGTTCACAAACAAGACGCCGTCATCCTGATTCACGGTGAAAGGAGGCTCCGTGGAGCCGTAGACAATACGCACCCCCCTCTCTTTGAGCGTCGTCTTATCAAGACCTAAATCCTTTGCGATATTCCCAACAACTGTTCCTTCCTGAACTTCCTCGTTCACAGAATATCTAAACTGTGCTTTGACGCAGATCCAAGAAGAAATCTGAAACAGCATGAATATAATCCATTTTGTCCGGTTTCTCGTCAGTGCACGTTCCCTTTGTTCCATGGTGGAGGATTAAAAAAAAAACGACAGCACTGTAAGCGCACTTCGGATAAGCTTTAAATAAGCCAATTCGGACTTATTCTGCTTCACCCGGTGTCATAATCCAAACAAATAACTGACCGAGAATATATTTCCGACTGAATCACCTCCTCAAGACCGCAGACGCTCTCGTTGTTATATTTAAAGGGGAACGGGATGGGTCTGATGCATGTGACAAAACGCGCAGAACTATTAATGTTATCATGCTGACACCAAGTGACGTGGATGGACATTGCAAAGCTAGACTGGTAAAAATAGAAAAATAGAAACAAAACAGATTCCATCAAATGTTTTAAACAACTGAGATGTAGAAAAAATGGACTAAATCTACAACTTGCTTAATAAAACAATACTGAATATTAAATGTATTTTTTAATGGGTATAAAATGCAATCTCTTCTGTTTTAATTTTTACTTTGGTTTATTTACTTTATTATTATTTTATTTTTATGTTTTTAATTATTTGTTTTTTATCAAAGACACATGGAGTAAATTTCAGCACCACGGACAGGGGAATGTTACAATCAGCACATTTTCAGACAAATAGTTAATACGAAAACATAATCTATTCTGCCATATACATCACATCCAGGCACCTTCAGTTTGACACCACTGCTGAAAATACATGAAGGAGCTTAAAAGTGAAATGAACAATACAATGTGAATGTTTTGCCCAACTGTGTTGGTAAAAAAATGTTTTAATTTGCCTTCCTTAATGATGTTTGAATGGAGGTTGTTTGAACTGCCAGAAAAGAGAAGGACAAATGTTGCTGATTTGCAAAAAGCTTTGTTAAAGTTCAGCATTTTAGGTTAATATTTGGTGCAAATTTGTTAAAAGAAAATAAAAATAAAAATGTTCTTAAGCATAAACACAGTATGCAGAGATCACAAAGGTAGTCATCAGTCCTGAATAAAAGTAAATTAAAATGAAAAAAATAAATAAATAAAACACAAAACTGACTAAAGAAGATGCAATTGAACCAGTGGACTCATGAAAGCTGGATAATGGATAAATTGTTTACAACAAGTTACAAATGACTTTACCTCCAGGAATAAGGAGAGCAAAATTATTGATCTTACCTCCTCAGATGTTTTCCTCCTGTCAGGTAAGACCAGTGTGTT